TTACAAGGCATAAGTAAAAGGCCTAGTAGACAGGATAATGATATGGGTTAAAATGGAAAGTGCTCGATCCTTGAAAATTGGTTGCAGATTACGCACAACATCCATCAAATTCAGCAGTTAATTTCTACAATGAATGAGTGGAAGCAACTCGGTCAAACAGTGATCTGAAATGTGCTTCGTACTTGTGGCTTCTGATACAAGAAGTTTTAAGTTTTTCAAAAAAATAATTTAAATTCTTTAATCACAGTTACCTGTGGCAGTCTGTGATACATTTTCCATGCTGTTACATGCTACAGTTCGGCTTTTACTTCCCTGATTATGGCATTTGCGTGACGAAGCCGCTGCCTTCGGCAGATGCAAGAAAGCAGGACGGAACTGAAGGGGTCGTCAAGTGATTCGTCTGCTCATCAGAGATATTCACTCTTTTTTATTACTTGAGAGAGGAACGGTTTTGGTAATAATAACATCTCCGACTCAATAAAACAAAAAACGTGTCAATCTCAGCAGCCGAGCAACCCATTTTCGCATCACGCACTCCAAATGTAGCATATTCAAAAAGCTAGGGAGGTAACAGTTAAGCAAACTTTCGATAGAGCCAGCAAACAGCCTAAGAAGCGAAAAGTGGGAAGAGGAAGAGCGGGAGGAGCAGCAAAAGAAAAGACCAGGGAAAAACCTTTGATTTTCCATGCTACAGCAACTTTAAAGGATCTGTTTACTGTCTTCCTTCAATAGCCCCTTCATTTCAAATCGATTATATTCGTTCAAATATTAATCCTCATTACAAAACAAAAAGTTTTCTGATTTATTCTGGAAAAATGTAAATTTACGACAAAAATTAACCTCAGTCGCCTTTAATCGTTGTCTGTTCGTGCTCCATATGCATGCTCTTCATGGATATGCAGCATCCTGGCAAGTAAAAAATGGTAGTAACCTCATGTGCCACACGTACCGGTAACAGCGTACAGAGAAGGAGAAAAGCAAAACGGTCTATGACTGAAAACTAACTTTACTTGTTCATTAATTTCCAGTGTTTTCCTCTGAATTTGCTTTTCCTTTTCTTCTCGTGCCTTTCGCAGAGCTAACCGTACTAAAATGGTATCCACTTCACGC